TCTAATATCACCAACATTTCTGTTTCCCTTCTTAGACTTTCTATATGTCCATATCCACTATCCATCCATTCATACATGTTCTTGTCATTTTCTATGAAAGTGCTGAACAAGTATGCTCTGTTTTGTTTTAAAATTCCTGGTCTGGAATGTTGCCATTCTTGCTATGTCTCATTGCAGGAACCGCTCACCATTTAGTTAGAGTAGGGTCATGTTGGATGACCAAGAAGGTTGAAGGTAGGCTGGGCTGAGCACTGTCTATTAGGTTGTATTAGATGCATTTTCAACAAGTAGCACTATGTTTAGCCTACTGTGGTGATATTTTGTTTATGTTTTAACAAATAAAGCTTGCCTGAAGATCAGAATGTAGAGCTAGCCACACTAGTTAGTCACAGAGGCCAGGCACACACCTTTAATCCCAGAGCTCAGAAGACAGAAGAAGATGGATGTCTGTGAGTTCAAGGCCACCCTGCGCTACCGAAGGATGAATCAGTCTAAAAGAGAAATAGAGCACACACCTTTGATCCCAGCACTTGGGATCACACACCTTTAAGCCCAGCACTAGGGAGGTGGAGACAGGAGTGGTGTGGGTAGACAGAGAGAGGAATATAAAGGCAAGAGGAGACAGGAGCTCAGTGCAGTCTGAGGATTCATAGAGATGGATGCAGTCTAGGTAGTCAATCTGAGGATGAATTCAGTCTGAGGATTCCTAGAGACAGGATCACCACTTTGGTCTGAGGATTCAGTAAAAGTAAGAACTAGTGGCTGATCTTTCTCTGATCTTTCAGCTTTCTCCCGCCCCTAATATCTGACTCCGTGTTTTTTAATGTTAATGCCGATTAGAATTCGTGCTACAGCCTACCATACTTTGGGGAAGTACAACCTCACCTTAAGTCAAATGGAAGTACTGGTATGTAGTGAGGTAGTCCTTCTGTAGCACTGACCACGCCCATTGGGGGGGGTGGAGCGATGGGCGGAGGTGACCTGAGGAAGGAGGTCGGAGGGGGCCAGGAAGGCGCTCTCTCTTTCTGGCGTGACTCGGACAGGAGAGGATCGGGTTGAATTTCCTGGTGTTCATCTGTCTAGGTTGTAAGTTATTTCTCCCTGAATAAACATCTATTCGACCTATTTGTTTATCCTGATCCTTATTTACCGCAATACTGGTAGACTATGATCTAGCTCCAATAGGTTTGGTGCTGGGAAGATAACTGCTCTCCTGGGCAGATCTTGTTTAGCTTCCCCATCCCCTCCTCAGTGTATCACCAGGGAGTCTCCCCCAGATGGAGAGCCTGGATGAACTCCTGAAAGTTCTCAGACAGGTACAGCCCGGCCGAACTGAGTACCCAGTGTGTTGAGTTCTGCAGTCCTTGTTCTGGCCTCCAGCCATGTGCCAATCACAGTTCTGTTTCCTGCCGAGGCCCTGCTCCTACAGAGGTTCCTCCTCCCGGGGTTGTGTTCTAGACAGGGAGGGATGAGTCTCTCTGTTTGCCTTCGGTTTGGAATACTCTGTAACCTCATTTAGTCACAACTTTGAGAAGAGTTTTTCTCCATAGGGGCAGTGTAAGAAAGTGGGATTCTGTGAGGCTTTTTCTGCTTTCGTATTTCAGGGAGTTTCTTGTATAAGCCCGTGTGTGTGTGTGTGTGTGTGTGTGTGTGTGTGTGTGTGTGTGAGAGAGAGAGAGAGAGAGAGAGAGAGAGAGAGAGAGAGAGAGAGAGAGAGAGACAGAGAGAGAGAGAAGCTGTGCACGTGGAAGTGAGAAAATAGCCTCAGGAGTTAGTCCTTGACCTCTATCTGTTTTGAGGCAGGGTCTGTTTGTTGCTTGCTGCTGTATACTCCAGGCTAGCTAACACACAAGATTCTGGGGATCCTCCTGCCTCCAAATCCCATCTTGCCATGGGAAAACTGGGACTGCACAAAAGTGGCTCTGGAGGTGTGTACTCGGGTTCTCACTCCTACAGCTGCATGACAGGGCTTCCTTGACTGGGCCATCTCTCCAGCCTTCTTCAATCGTGTCTTCCCTCTTCTGTACAGTGAGCTTTAGACACTTTGGCTAAAACTTCTTGATAACAGATTGTGGTTATAAACACCTTTTATCCACCAGGGACTGTAATCACTCTGAAGCCTCATGTAAGCTCGCTTATTCCCTCCCATTTTATAATAAGGAAACTGAATCACAAAGAGTTTAATAGCCATCCCAAAGGAACAGCAGTGGGCCCAAATCCATCATGTTTTAGCTGACCCTAGAGCATGTGCCCTATCTCGGCCACCACGGTCTTTTACTATATGACCCCTAAACATCCTTACAACATTCTGACTGTATTTAATCATGAAGAAATTTGATCATCCAACAAATTACTCTAGTTGTTTATATCTCAGCTTACCATTCCACCACCCAAAATCGCAGCATCTGTACCTCCTAAAAATCATTGCAAGAAATGGCCGTACTGCCATTGGTTTACACAGAAACTGATGCTCCCATAGAAACACCAACACCGACATCCCTGAGGGCCTTCCTTACTCTACCACAGGCACTACACATCCGCTGAAGCCAAGACAGTACTAGGGAAAGACTCCTATGCTCATTTGAATGGAAACAGGCTCTCTCTTTTTTCCTATGACAAATTAGAGCTGAGTCTTACATAAATATAACTTTAAGGACACTAATGTCTTAAGCCAATCTATGTTGTTCTGATTCTGTTATATACACACTGAGGCTTGCCATCAATAGCGGGCAAGCCAATAGTCATCGCTGCCAGGAGGGTTCTGCCAGCTGTCTCCATGAATGCATGGTCTGTTCCACAGCCGCCCTGTTTAGTTGGCTGTTCGAATTGACTGCACAGTTTGTCCTTTCTTCATGGCAACAGACATTATCTGTACCACTAAACCATTTTCTTTTGCTGGAAACTGCCCCAGAATTGAGACGTACAGAGAACATTCAGATTTCATTAGAGTCCACATCTGTAGGTGCCAGGGTCTGAATATGTCTGTCTTTCCCCCCAAATGCACATGCCCATACCTAATCTCCAATACGGGAACCTGGGAAGTAATGTAATTGTGAGGGTGGAGCTCTTGAGAATGAGATTGAAACCCTATAAAGGAATTCCAGCCAGGGAGGACCCAGCGAGAAGACAACAGGAAGCTGACTCGCATTCCCACACCACTCCCAGCAGGCAGCAGCATCTGGCACTGTGAGCAGTACACTTTTGCAGAATGGAAATTACCCAGTCAAGTATTTTGTCATGGCAGTCTGGAAGATCTGAGACAGCTGATTTTGTTACAAGGGCAACAAAGGGAGATGCTGAAATATCCAAACGTACTCTAGTCAAAATGTTCCCTTTATCAGGTAGGGGTCAGCTTGAGATGATTGGTCAACATCTGGAACATTATTACCACCAAGAATTCTGTATGCCCACCCTAGCCTATCCTGCTTGAGAAAGGACTCATTTCCAGGTATACACACACACACACACACACACACACACACACACACACACACACACACACACACACCCTAGGGCCCAAATAAAGACTGATACTGGAAATTCTTTTCAACAAAGCCGCTTTGGATTTTGTTATGGTATCTCTAACTTTTTATGTCTTAAAATACAAGTGTTAAGTGCTTTTTGGTTTAATCAGTTTGAGGGCAATAAGTACCTGGTTAGTTTAGTTAGTTAGGTTTTCTCCGTACTTTTGACATAGCTACGGTTTCTTTTATTCATTCCTTGGACACGGGCATGTGCTTCGGGGTCTGCGCCTGCGTGGGTGTCAGAGCAAGCACCGGGAATGGAAGTAGATGCCATAAATCCCACCAAAGGGGGGTTCACTGGGAGGGGAGAATAGACTAAGAGGAGACAAGTACTGCTTTTCCTCAGCAAAGCCAAAAGCAAGGATGGTTGAAATGCTGGCCTAATCTAGTGTGGTCCTTTCCTCTCTAGAGTGTAGGGTTTCCTCATGTGGCTAGTAGACATTACACAAATGATAAATCCCATGTTGTAGGGGCAGGACCAGAAAAGGAGAGCCTTCCAGGCAGGAATATTCTAAAACACTGATAAGTATGTGTTTGTTTGGAAGCTTCCTGCAGCAGAGTGCAGACAGTACCCCAAGAGTCCCAAGGACCATGTCTACATAGGCACCACCTTTCCTCATGCTGGAAAGGGGCAGAAAGGGTTGTGGTCTACAGAAGCAGGATGTGGACAACTTATGAGAGGAGAAAATTAAACACTTTGAAGACAGGACTTTGTCTAATTCATACCAGGTGCCTTACAGATCTCTGGTTGCTTGGCTTTTGTTCATTTCGGGTATTTCTCTTTCCTCTTCCTGATAGAAGGAGTAAGTTTCAGTGTATACAAGCCTTCGTCATCTCTGCACTCATCCTTCAGGGTTGCCCCACAGGCAACTCTAGGATGTGGGGGGTGTGAGAGAGTGGTAAGAGAAAAGGAACAACACAATAATACACAGGTGACTTCCGGCCAGGTCACTTGCTGTTAGCATTTGCCCTCATAGTGGGATACTAAGAAGAGGTTCACTGTGATTTCCGCTGGGGCTTCCTGTGTCAACCTGAACATAGTGCCTGCCTTGCTCTGTTCAGAACAGTCTTTGCCCACTCCAGTGCAACAGCCCAACAGTTCTGGGCTTATAGCAGATAGGGAGAGTAATCACTGATTGCGGCCATTGCGGGTAATTCTTAAGCCGATGCAATCTTGGATTGACCATGATGAGGCTGTCATTCACACTATAGAGCTAACAAGGACAACTGATTATTAGGCAAGGCTGGCCATCTTCTTGGGTTTAAGGGCTGGTGTGAGCCACAGGGAATTTCACTTAAAGAAACAATTAAAAAGTCAACTCACAACTCTGAGAAGTAAAATGAAGAAGGTTATTTCTATTTTATATATATATTAAAGGAAAAAGTAAAATAGGAAATAAAAGGAAGTCCCCTTGGCTCACAGTGACTCAGGAGTTCTGGGATGGACCCCCGCCCCACCCCATGCCTCCTGCTCACCTTGTAGTGATCCATTATCTCAGCTAGCCAGGGCTTCACCGACTGCACTGTGTCCTCTCGCAAGTACTTCTCAACATCAGCACCATCATTGAAAGTCCGGTTTCCCACATGGATGGCTTGTCTCACTTGTGGAAGTGACAAGAATTTCCCATAGTAACTTTGGTCCTTGGTTTCCTGGCAGGAGGCACACCAGAAGGTGTTATGGGGGAGGATTTCAGGTGTGGCCTAGTGGGAAAGTTGAGACTTTCTCACAACATACAGCACAATAAACAGGACATGACTAGATCGTTAACTTGTCCTCATGTTCCACATTTTAACTGGGCACCCTAGTCAAGTGAGAGCAACCCTTTCATTGAGGCCAAATGCAGAGAATCTCCTTCATTTGTAGTCAATATCCAATTTGCCTGGGGAATGGATTTTCTTGCTCACACTAATATTCGCAGTTCTACTGACTAATTAGCCAGCTCATGGGCAAGAATGTTGGAGACAGAAAAGAGGTTAGGGCAATCACTCCCTGACCTTGGTTCTGGGGAAGATGGTGAGGCAGCTTTAAAGGGACCAGGGACAGCATAGTTAAAGCCATGGTTTAATTGCCATTCTCTGCTATTTATTAATATCTCTCTGTGTTGCCCCCCAGTCAACTGATTATGGGGTTAAAAAAAACCCTGACACTTAATAAAAGACATATAACAAGTTGTTCACAGCCCTTATTAAAAAGCAAAAACCAAAAAAAAAAAAAAAAGACCCTCCTGAAAGTCTCTGTAATAGTCATTACACTTTAAAGAAAAAGGAGCAAATATTCATTTTTTTTAGTTCTCCAGGTTGCAAAAATACTGTTTAGGATTTATGTTCAACAATTCTGTGCTTCATCAGCAATTTGTTCTTTTTTTGGCTGTGAATATATTACTTTCTTCAGAAAAACATTGTAATCACAAATTCTATTTCTCTGTTTCCTGCCATATTTTGTTATTGTCCAAAACCACAGGGCTGGGAATCCCACCAAAAGTGACTTCAAATTTTACTTACAAATAGCTCATAAATAAGGCAATTTAAAAACAGAATGTATTGTCCTGTGCAGTAGACAAAGAGTCCTCACATCCAAACTGCCAAGCAGGCTCTTCTCTTATTCACTTAACTCTACACAAAAGATGTCAGTCAACTCTGGCCTACTTTTGTGAAAGAAACTACTTGAATACTCTGATAAGTATTCCAGAGGCTTTGAAGTGAGGTCTGTCCTAAACGCTCTAAACACCTCAAGTTAAAAGTAAGACAAGGCAAATATTTTCAGGGAGGCGTGGCAATGTGGATTACCTAAGCCATCACAAGTGCAGAACAAAGAAAATGGATATTTTCAAGAGCCCATAGATTGAAGCCTAGACCCAGCACCCAGAGATGCAGTTCCAGGTTGCACCCTTCCCAGAACTCCTCCCAGAGACAAGGTCTAGTAGGAACACTGACTTTAATAGACACCATTCTGAGCTGAACACAGTATCACATATTATGATGGTGAGCTACAGCTAACAATTCCAATGGGAAACAAGCCCCGGGGGTCAGGAGATGAAAGTATGCAATACACGTTGGACACAGGCACCTAATTTAATTGAGCTATATTTTCTTATCAAAGTTTAGGTTTTGCCCGAAGTTTTAAGCAGACATTTCTGTGTTGTTGTTGTTGTTGTTGTTGTTTTGGTTTGTTTGTTTGTTTTAGCTTGTGGTCATTACCTCACACTCTAGAAAGTTGTAGTAGTTGGTGCATCCTGTCACATTCTGGAAGAAGGATTGATCATTTGTCAAATCACCATCCAGCAGCTTATCCAGGATCTAGGTCAGAGAGGGAGGGAGGGAGGACAGTGTCAGGGAGGGTTAGCACTCGTAACCCTTGTTGTAACACGCAGTCAGGACTGTAGTGGCATCTTGTTCTGTCAGTGGACTTGGGGTGGTGGCCACACCTTAGGGTGTGGCTTCTGTGTGTTCAGATGTGACTCCTTATAAAGAAGAAGAGGGGCTGGTTCAAACTCTTTTGGACACTTTTCATATTTTTTAGCATATGTGTATCTCTATGTGTGTGCTTATTATTTACATATAGATGATATGCACAGACATGTGGAAGTCCATGGACAGTCTTGGGTATCATTCCTCAGACACCGTCCATTGTTTTATTTGAGACAGGATCTCTCACACACCCGGACTAGCCAAGTAGGGTAGATTGGCTACCCTAGCACAAGTCCATGCACATCACGCTGAAGCTCTTGTTTGTTATTGGGTTATAGGGCTCAGACTTGGGGTGTTTGGGGTTGCATGAAAAACACTTTACCAATTGAGCTACCTCTATACCCCTGTAATGTAAAACCTTCCTCATCATTTACTGGACATTTGTAGTAAACAAATTCCATCCCTCATAGGACTTATATTCTAGAGAAACAAATAAGGATGGCAAGGCAAAATGCGTCAGGTATTAGAGGCAGGTGTGCACTGGGGAATGGTAAGGAGAACAAGAATGAGAGGTTTTGCGGGTGTTGAGTGCCTACATGTAGGGGACACCAATGAAAGAAGTTTCTGTTAGAAGATGGCAATCGAATTATAACCCACTGGCTGGGAGAAAGTCAAGAATGTAGACAACCAGGGAAAGACTACTCTAGGCAGAAGATAGTAAAACCAGATGCTCCAACTTGCCAGTTTGCCTAGTGAGGACAGTCCTTGGAACACTCACCTACAGTATGAGCAGAGAAGGGATGGGACATGGACTGAGACTCAGGGGCTTGGAACTGGTGGAGGGCATCCATAGACTCCAGCTCCCATCACCGGCAGGGAAGGGTGGTCACCATGGCTGTTGTTTTTCTCCAGCCATGGGCTGCTGGACAAGGGCCAGCTTGGAGGGAGCCACGTAGGAACATGAGCCAGGGCTGTGGCTTAGCCAAAGAAGTTGGAGGAAGCATTAGTAGAGCTTAGTGACTGGAATGTGCGGGTGGACCTGAGTTTAGGTTTAGCCCTCATGAAGATGCACTGAATGGCACTGGAGCTGGACAATCGCCACAGTTGGTTCATTAACATAAGTAGGATGGACAGATAGGATGTGACAACTGAATAAAGGCATTTCAGCTTCAGATTGTGGGTGACCGCTCTGTCAGTTCTTTGGTTGTTTATTTACTTGGTTGTTTTTCTGATTTTTGGCTTTGTTTTGTAGCAGGAACAAGTAACTAAAGGGAAGAACAAGACTGCTGGGGGGGAAGGGAGAGGCTAAGGAACACAAGAATAGAGTATTATTATTTTTACATCACTCTCATGGATACTACAGTCACCGGGAATTATGTTGGGAGCGATGGTGAGCTAAACCAGCCAGTGGATGTGGAGAGAGACACGTGGTGTAAACAACTGCCCTAAATGGTGCTTGGTGGCACCTCTGAGGCTATGAAATAGAATGCTCAGTGCTTTAGGAGGAAGAAGAAATTGTTCTGGAAGCAGCAATGAAGAAGGAGACAGCTGCTCCACCTAGGAGTCAATATGGAAGAGTTGTGGAGTGCAGCATGTTAGGAGCGTGTTAAAGCAGGAAGGTGAAGAGAGGAGGCGGCTGGGGTGTGTCTTTTCTTCCTCTGCTGCTAGGATATAGTTTAAGAGGGTCCTCTGAAAGGACTGCATGGCATGCATTCAACACATTCTAAAAACCTTTAAGAACGAGTTAGTGTATTCAAAGGTAAAACACTGTTATCCTAATGTTTGGCGAGGAGAGGAAGATTCACAAAAGTGCAGTGCTTGGCCAGGGTACCCCTGACAATGGCATGGGTGAGACCCCAGCCTACACCCTCAGCCACACACGTGCCGCTGTACCAGCAGTTGGATGGCATGGCTTCCTGTCCTCCACACCTCTAGATGTGCAGTGGCCCCCACATCTGGCTGTGTAGAGATGAGGGGTCTGGATGAGGACCCAGAAGGGTAAGGAACCATCCGAAGTGTGCTAGGCACACCAGGACACCAGGGATTCTGCTCCAGGCACCATCTGGAGAAATAGTTGTACTCAGACCTTCACACTAGAGAATATCTGTGTGTTAAATAAGGAACCCGCAGGTTTATAGCCCAGAGCAGGTGCCTTTCTCTGATTTACCCACTCTCGGCTAAAAGTTGTACTGAATGCACACATCTCTGGTGGGACTCATATTTAGAAGCCATCCTCAACACCAATGAGAATGTAGATCCAAGCTTTCAGAGTCAATTTGCTGGGGCTAAGGTGGTAGGTTAGGTGGTGAGGTGCTTGCCCCGCAGCCATAACGACCCAAGTTCAATCCTCAGTCCCCGTGTATAAACCCTGGAGTAGTGGTGCTCACTAACAATGTCAGAGTTTTGGAGATGAAAATAGGGAGATCCCTGGGTTCTCTATTAGCCAGTGTAGTATGCATCCTAGGTGAGTCCCAAAAAGCGAAGTGGAAAGTGAAGAACACATCTGACATCAACTTCAGGCCTCCATGAGTGCATACATAAACACACATCCGTGCTAGTGTGTATGCACATGTTCATACACATTAAATTTTAAATTAAAAAGTAAAACAATAGTTTTGCTTTCACCAAGAAACAAAATCACATTCTGTCTAACAAGTCATGCCACTAATTTAGTCCATTAGAAAACTTTCTAATCAAAACTTGTTTCACAGAGAATGTTCATTGTCAGGAAGGAGAAAGAAGGGACCAGAGGGCAGTCACTTTACTACTGTAGAATTGGAAGGACACCCCAGGATTTTTATAGAACACCCAATATTTAGTGCAGGAAGGGGAAACCCTGGGCTAGGAGTCAGGCAAACCCATTCCAGACCTAGGCCTCCCACAATCTACATTGTCCTTCTGTGATTCATGACTATCCTCTGAGCCCAGCATCCCTACCAGTGTGTGTGTAGGGATGGCATCACTATCTTCAATGTTCTCACCAGCTGTTACTGCTCTTTTACTAACTGGCCCATTTTTGAAAAGTCAGAACACTGAGGCAGGAGGAGGATGTTCAACCATTAAGAGCTATTCTTGCAGAGGACCCACGTTCAGTTGCCAACACATACCTGATGGCTAACAACCAACTGTAAATCCAGTTCCAGGAATTTGATGTTTTGTTCTGTCCTCTGGTGACAGTAGAAATGCATGTAGTACACATATGTATATAGAGACAAACACTCATACACATAAAATAAATAAATAAAAATTTAGGATAGAAGATTAAGAACATCAAATAGACTATGTTGGACTTGAGATTTGAACTTTAGGATGCCTTAACATCTTTGGCTAACATACTAAACACTGCTTTGTCTATTTCCTTTGCAAACTCACAGGCTTTAATCACTCAGTCTCTTGGATCAGCAATTAAAAGAGACATCTCATACCTTCAAGGAACAACAAGAGAGGTATTTCATGTTTCTACTGAATTTGGTTTAGGAGAAACTCCTGGGCCACAGTCTCATTTTCTCTAACTGTACAAAATATTCATGTTTTTTTCAACAGTTTTCTGTGTGTGGCTGTCACATGATGTGCAGTGTATGTCATTCTGCCTCCTTCTTCCAGGCTTCTTAACTGGCCTTGCCTCAGACTCTGCTTAACAAGTTGTGTTGGTTTCTTCAAAGCCATAGCAAATGTCACTCTCTTGCAAATTAGTCTCAAGCCACATAAGCTCTGGAGGAACACTCAGTTCCAAAGCCTTCCTCTTCTCCCTGGCTCTAGCACAGCAGGTAGCCTACAATCCAAGACCTATCAGGAAGATGCTATGATTGTCAGTGAAAGCATGATCTTAATCCTTGCAAGACAACCCTGCTTCCTTGGTGCTTACAACTGCACAGGACATTCTGGTTCGGCTTATTGCTGCCACATCTGGTGTTCTGACCCAGAAAAATGTCAGCATTCTGCCTAGGGCTAGGACTTCCCTTTCACAACCCATCTATGTGCACAGCTTGCTGTTATCAGACTTCGCAGCAAACCCAGCCACCTCCACAAGGGATCCCAGTAGTGTCCTGTTACCCTACTTATAAAATGTGCATCATTATAAGTTGCCTCTTTTCTTCTCTAGTTTGTATTTCTCCTGTTTTGGTCATAATTGGCATATCTGATGCACCTGAAAGTGTGTTAACATCAAGCCTTGGTCTGAACAGTCACAATGACTTTAGGTACATAGAGAAGGTATCTAAAAGCAAGCTTAATGAGGTCTTCTCTTCTCGCATTTACCAGTGTGTCAGACAGGATGGCTCCATAGGTGTGTAGCAGAAACAGTGGAGGAAGATTGTTTACTTTGCCTTTGCATTGGCTTAAACATGCTAGTTCCTGTATTAAGTAAAACCTTACACTTAATAAGCAAAAGCCAAAGAAAAACAAGTGGGTAAAGGCTTGAATCATATCATCAGTCTCATGTTCAATTGTTAGGTTATCTGTGTGATAATATTCACACATACTATTTCTTTGGAAGATGTCTCTCATTACACTACATTTTGTAGTCTTTAATCTTGACACTAGGAAGTGTGTGACTTGGGTTACACACCGTGTCCCTTCTCCACCTGAAGCCCTGCTTGTGGACATAAACCCTTTTAAATTTGTTTCTAAGCATCTGCTGAAGCTCGGGCTTCTGATTTCCATATGCTACAATATGCCTTCAGGTCCCACACAGCATTTAAGGAAGTCAGAACCGCTAATGAAAGACACAGGTAAGCATGCCAGGACGATCTCGGGTTAAATATACAGCTGAAGTGAATTGAGAGAAATGCAGGCAGTGCGTTTCTTCATGTGCACTCCTCTCGAGTCCTCATCTTAGGCAGAGGAGGGGAGAGATACCACCCCAAAAGGTGGAATGTCATTATGGCGTGCCTCCTGACCCCTCTTCTCCTCAGATGGTTTTAATTGTTCAAGGGCAGCCTTGGGGCCCCAGAACTCACTTCAAAGGCCTTTATCCAGTTCTGGTCTTTGATGTAGTTTATGCACTTGTTGCAAAGATTCTGGAAGGACTGTTGCTGCTGCTCATCCAACAAGCCAATTTGGTACAGGAATGTTGCATACCCTCCTATAATCTGGGGACAGAAGTAACACACATGAATGCCAAAGAGAGAAGGTCAGGACACCCTCTACTTCAAGAAGAAACATTTTGCAGTGATCTATTAATTTTCACTGGCATTAGTCAAGTCAGACAATTATACACACAGACATATACAACAGAAAAGTTGCGCATACAGTACAATACACACATATGTACAATCTGGCATTGGCAACCAGGCTAAAATGGTAAGAAGACACACTTGAAAGGTTTAGTTAAGAATTAGATTTGAACTAAGTTAACATTGCCTTTTAACAAGTTAGTTCTCTGAGGTCAGATGAGAGTGGTGTTCATTCAATTAAAAGGAATTACTCTGTAAGGGACAGATTGAGAAAGAAAAAGTGGCCACCCACCGATTCTGGATCAAAGTATGCGTCTCCGATGGCTATTCCTTCCAGGTGGATCTTGAGCTCCCTCACAGGGTTGAGGGAGTGGATATAGTGTGCTATGGCTGGCACATATTTCCCTGCATAAGACTGAAAAGGACGGACAGATGTTGAAATGACAGTCCCAAATTGATCCACACACATCTGCATGGGTTGAAGCTAATTAACAATAATTACCATCCATTTCCTCAGCTCACTTTGAAAATTCTACAGTAACAATTCTACTCTTACTTCTGTTCTCATACCATATGGTCCCAAGTGACATGAAAAATGCATAAATACCATGCTATCATGGAACATTCTAATGTTCTTCCAAAACAAAAGGACCTAGAGCCCTGGACACAATTCTACCGCCCGCTGAATGTCCCTTCCCAGGGTCTTCTATTCCAACTTTTACTAAAGGAATAAGAGAAGGGGCAAACAAAATAATATTGGTCAGAGATTTTCTATGTGTCCCAGCCTTTTCTAGCACAGGATCCTTTTCCAAGGCAAATTATTTTATGATCCATTTTTCTTCTGACAAACACAGTACTTCCACTTTCAACTATTTCAGGAAGGGCTATTATTGGCTCACAGTTTTATGCTTTTTATTACATTAATTTATTTATGGGTGGGTGAGTCAGAGGACAATTTGTAAGAGTCAAGTCTCTCCTTCTACCTCACAGTGTCCCAGAGATGAAACTTAGCTGTCAGGCTTGTTTGGAAGCACTATTTTTTTTTTTTCTGCTGAACCCTCTCACTGGCCTGCTCAATAACATTTGAAAACATATGTCTAATTAATTTCACCAAAATTGCCTTCATGGCTTGTCTAGTTGTTTATCCAACTGTAAACTCCATGCATTCAGAATGAAGCCTCCAAATCCCGAGTCTTCCATGTTGCTTTTGCTCTGCATGCGTAGGCCAAAAATCTCAGTACCTTTCTTTCTATTCCTTTCTCTCATACCCCTTAAAGTTCACCAGCTGGGCTTGCCAGTCCTCTCTAGCCCATTAAATGCACCTGGAATGCAGCGTCTTCTTCTTCTTTGGCCCTTAGCCCCAGCCACTTCATTTTCTAGACAGTGGGAAAGCTAAAACACAAGCTGGGCCATGCTAGTCTATGGTAAAGATATGAATACTTTGTTTTGGAATGGATTTTCATTTATTGATACAATTAAAGGTCAATTTTATGATATGTATATTTCTCCTCTTGTTTAGGTATTGTGTTTATATAGCTCATTTAGAAATGTAATATATAATGAAGTACAGATTATAGATAATTACCTATGATAGTCAAAGCTTAGAGTTAAGTTAGTTAATTTCAAGATATACAGAGATGTATTTGAGATAGATAGAAATTCTTCAAACCTTTCAAAGACCTACAGAATATGGCATTTAAAATGGTTTAGGGTTTTTCTTGACAGTGAGATATAACTTTCCTGGCAACACCACTGTGTCAGAAAGGAAGATGGACATCGAAGACACGTGTTATGAAGTTACTTCCAGTATGGCAAGACTAGCCATTTGGACAAGATACTGCTCTTGTCTGGACTGTTTGACTTTGTGCTGTATAAACTGGACATGCAGGACCCAGATAAAAGTGACTGTTGATTCAAGATGGACATTGCTACAGAGTTCCTGCTTCATGGAAGGGTCTACCGGTCTGCAGGACCCAGAGAAAAGTGACTGACAAACTGCCAATACAAGAAGACAGTTTAGTTTGAAGTTTATTGCTTTGCAGAAGAGTCTGCCAGACACACTATGGCCTATGGGCTGAAGATGGAAGATTACAGAAGAACTTCAGGTGACTGACAAGGTAAGATGTCTCTGTCATTTCTAGAGTTTACATACTATCCTTCTGTGGTCTTTAAAGGAGTTGAAGACAGATAGTTATGGTTAAAGTTTTCCTTAGTTAAGCTTAAAGATAAGTTACATACAGGACTTTAGACTCACAAATATAGGATAGATGATAGAATAGTTTCTTTTAATCTTGCTAAATGTCAATGGACTAAATATTGTTAACTATGATTCTTACTTGATAACTGTTGTGTTATATATTTTGCTATGTTAAGGTTAAAACCCTTGTTTTTATTTACACAGAAAAGAGGAGATGATGTTTCTCATACTGGTTAATGAATAAAGCACTGTTGGCCAATAGGAAAGGAAGATAGGAGGGACTAGGAGACGAGGAGGAGAGAGGAAAGAGTAAGGAGGAGTCAAGATGGAGAGACTGGGGAGACAAGACACCTGCCCTATTCCCCAGTAAGATGAGACCATGTGGATCAACAGAAATGGGCTAAAACTTAAGACAGAGCTAGCCGATAAGAAACTAGTACCTGGTCAACAGCATTATATCAAATACAGAGTCTCGTTGTATTAATTGGGGCTGGCACGGCGGCGGGACCAGACCAGGCCGGGGTGGGGGGAGACCTACTCCTTACACTAGTCCTCTGCTTAACATCTTTCTGTGCCTCTGCACTTCAGTAAAGCAGCGGGCTTGATCTGAGGCATAAAGGCTGATGTGGCCCACTCCTTTCTCCAGCCTCACTCAGGGTACCTTCATACTCAATCCTTCCCGGCCTCACTGGGGACCTGAATGCTCGCTGTGTGCACCACAGCCTTTGTGCTCATATCTTTTCCACCTGGGATGTTTTCCCCCAAGCATGCAAATGTTTCAGTTCCTCATTTCTTTAAGTGAGGCTTCCTGAGCAATGTCTTTTCTGGCCACTTACCAAAATGTTTAATAGTCCTGTTTTCTTGTTTTATATCCTTTACTTTCCCTCTTAACCCTTACTCTTCCTCAACCAACTTCACCTGCTCATCACCTACTCAGTGTTGTGCTTGTCCCCATCCCTGAAGATGCCTGAATATTGATGTAAGCATCTACTTTGCTTACTTGCTTACTTTTGTTCATACTGTCTGACATTATTAGTGCTCAATAAATAGCTGTGAAATTAGTGAGTCCATGTTTGGTTGGAAAAGGGCAACATACAGGTGTTCACAGTAGACTAGAGGCCTTGTGCAAGTATCTGGGAATTCACAGACCTTCTACGACGTCCCCAGGGTTCTTCACAGCCTTGGAACACCTGACTTCTCTAACTTCCTCTATATCATCACCATAATCACAGGATGGAAACATCTCTGTTCTCACTTCAGGCTAGGACACGGGACTTGGAGAGGTTAAGTGGTAAGAGTCAGAACCACACATGGTCTGACCTCCTCCAAAAGTTTAAACTTCTTTCAAGCTGATAAAAGCAGGTAATTCACATAGCTTATGTGAGATCTTGTTTGCACAGCCCTCTTGTGCAACAGCAATTACTTAGGCAAAGTGGTGAATCAAAATACTTCCAGCTTCATTCTTAGGAATCTGTTTAGTTTCCTTTTATGGCAACAAAAAGGCGGGCTTATATGTCTGAAGTTTGGTGTGCTGCATAACTGTGCAATGTGATCTGGTTAGTGAAAATAACTGAAGATTTATCAAATAAATGTCTGTAATGTAACACACTTTCCTGAGTAAATGTATCACCAAGCCTTCAGTCAACAGGGGCTTCCGGGACAAGCCATCTGTCTAGGCCATCTTGCTAGATACTCAGGGAGACTCAAATAGGAATAAAGCACAAAAATGTCCTTAGAAAGATCACACTTACTTCTAAAGAACATTATGGAAATCATGTCCCCTACCCACCAGAGCAAATATATGATTCATAAATTGTGTTCCCATGATGTGAACAATGACCAGGGCAAAACAGGCCCCGACACAAGCATGCTTGATACATGAATGGCTGATCTCACATTACCTCCAATATTTTTCTCTATAGAAGTTGGTACAAATGCTAAAAAAAAAAATTGTATATACAGAGTGATAGTATCTCTTGAGTTGTCTTCTTCTTACATTTGACAAATGAAATGTACTCTTTCTGGGATGGCCATGTCCTTTACATGGTTCAGTGGTGGTAAATTTAGCCTAAAACACCCAGTATATGGAACCTTCCTAAGAGTCAATGCACACAGGACATAACTAGGTAAGGAATTAAAAAGGACCCTCTATTTTAATGCCCATTCAAGATTTTGAGTTTCATCTGTGAACGGAGCTATTTCACTTATCCTAATATGAGTCCGTGTAAAACAAACCTCATTTTCTTATATTTTGCAGCAATGAAATGTGATCTGTGCCTGTTAATGGCATACATAGCTGGAGTTCTCCCCAGGCATGGCTGATTCCATAGCTCTCATCTTTTCTAGCAAATCACATTTCAGTCAGTGGTCACAGAATGTCCTGTGGCTCTCGGGTCCCATGCTGGGACCTGTTTTTATCTACTCCATATTCACTAAGCAGACCACTCATGAAAAACAGGACAATGAGATGGATATTTCTATAATCACTTCTAAAGCCACCATATTCCTCAATATTCATTCCACATCAACCATCCTAGCACTGAGGATGTTTATCTTATTCTTTGTTTCTAGCGACTATCACACACTTCCTTGCTTTGTGTCAGTGTGACAAATCCTTCATTGTCTTGTTCATTAATCATTCCATTGGCTGAGTGACTCCAGCTATCACACAGTAGACAACTGCAGGATTATTTTATGGGGCATCAACTCATTATAGTGAGAGGTCCATTATTTTTATATTCCCTGTTGAGATATATTTCTTTTGTGTTTACAATAGCAGGGTTCTTATTTCAGAATCATTTATTTCTCAGCTTAACAATTCGCTGACTATCACAAACACTTTGGAACACGACAGGTTGACAAATTAAGCATATTTTGTTTTGCCTCCCACCACCTCTGTATATATTTTATATTAATTAAAACTTCATATTTGGGAGGAGTGTCTGCTCTTGGGTTAGAATCAGACTATGGTCGCCTATGTTATTACTTTGGACAAGAACATAAGATCACTTGCTCCTTGATTCTGAGTTATTCCCTTAATGGTGGCAGTAATGACCACAACCAGAACTCCAGTCCTGAGTCTTCTTTGACCTCCCAATGATGCTCCCCAGTGTGGCCAACAGCAGGCCAACAAAGCCTCTGAGGTTTGGAAATTAATACTAACCTTTCATCCCCAGATCCAATACTGCTCTTATAAAAGCTCAGAGCAACATCAAAGC